TCATGGCTCACTACAACCTCAAACTCCTGGGCTCAAGGAATCCTCCCACCTCAGCCTCCCAAGTAGCTGGGACCATAGGTGTGCCCTATCACACCTGGCTAATTTTTTTTCTTTTTGCACAAAATGGGGTCTCACTTTGTTGCCCAGGCTGGTGTCGAACTCCTGGGCTCAAGCAATCCTCCTGCCTTGTGCTCCCAAAGGGCTGAGATTACAAGTATATGCCACAGCGCCTGGGCTCAATTATTTCTAAAAAGACCTCTACTGCAACTTTACCATATGGCCCAAAGGAGTTCCCCATATTGTATGCTGTTCCATCCGGGTCATAATGAGGATGTGCAGTTGCTCCATTCACAGCAATAAATTTGCTCCAATCTACCTGCAAATTTGAGACCATTGGAGATTTTTAATGGGCAGATCTCTATTTATATGCATACATAGTAGAAATATCAAATATTTTTAAAAATATGACATGAAAACTGCAATCTAAGCCCTTATTTCTTGCGTCTGAGAAATAAAAATTATTTTTCCCAGTAAAAAAATCAAGACTAAAAGCAACAAACAAAAACTCACCACCACTACTAACAACAAAACCACCCTGAATAAATTTGTCTAATAGCACAGGAAAATTCAAAAGAAGCATAAGAATTAAAATTAAAAATCTAGTCTAAAATTTTCTTTTCAATTAATATGTTATGTGAAGGCAATACAGGTATAGGCAACCTCCAGTCCAACACTAACTAAGAAGAACAGCAACTAGCTAAAGTAGATCAGTATAATTCTATTTCTCCTTTACCCTAGCCTTCAGATATTAGGCCTAAGGAAGAAGTTTAGAATTATCTCTAAGGAAAACCAACCCACAGGCCATTCTAATCAGGCCAGAGCATAAAGGTGACCTGCATCAATGAATAACTTTGTTTTTGTTTTTGTGTGGTTAAGGCTCCGATTTCTTCTTGATATGTACTAGATACTCTAAAAAGTATTTCAAATGGAAAAAAAAATGTTAGGATCTATTTTATTCATTTCGTTAACCTGTACTTTACCTTTTCTGTTTTTTCCAGAGTTTCAATATCCACTTTATTCATAAAGTTGGTCTCAGTGGAGAGGTAGTAATCACCCTTGTACTGCACATAGTTGACATTAGTGTTGTCAGTCATGGCTGAAACCAAACCCCAGAGTTATTTAAGTACCACAGCTTACTACAGCAGATGCTAAGCACACACTCAAAGGGAGAAAGCAGTTTCAACATCCTCTTACATACACAAAACAATCTACTTTCAAGATTTATGTTTCCATAGATGGTCATATATCATAACAGTTTAAATAATCATGACTATCGGCCAGGCACGGTGGCTCGAGCCTGTAATCCCAGCACTTTGGGAGGCCGAGGCGGCTGGATCACGAGGTCAAGAGATCAAGACCATCCTGGTCAACATGGTGAAACCCCGTCTCTACTAAAAATACAAAACATTAGCTGGGCATGGTGGTGCGTGCCTGTAATCCCAGCTACTCAGGAGGCTGAGGCTGGAGAATTGCCTGAGCCTAGGAGGCGGAGGTTGCGGTGAGTCGAGATCGCGCCATTGCACTCCAGCCTGGGTAACATGAGTGAAACTCCGTCTCAAAAAATAATAATAATCATAATCATAATCATGACTATCACCTGCAGCTTACCTGGCGGCTCAAACCTGGACAGGAAACGTTCAAAAACATTCTTGCAGGGATCTGGGAGAGCCAGTGTGCCAAATTCCGAGATTACAATTCGGTTTTGAGCACTATTAGCCTTATATGTATCGCTCTGTAGAAACTTGCTCCTGTATGTTACTGTGCCCTCTGCCATCCTGAACTGGTGAAGCAATGCCATCCCATCAAACCAATGATTGTATCTTCAAACAGGAGAACATAAATAAATAAATATTAGTAAGAAAACATGGGGTAAAAATAAGAGACAGAGTGATAGATCTTCATTTCAAATATAAAGATAAGGAAATGGGCAGGTTCCCAGCACAATCTGAGTAGTCAGAGAATTTGAAATTTTGGAAGGATAACATTTTGGGTATATCTTAGGCATAAAAGGAAAGAAAAATTTACATCCTCCTGACCCTTACCTCTGTCAAGAAGACCCTCACATTTTAGAAAACTCCTATGATGGTGAATCCTAAGAAAATTCTGATCTTTACTCCATGACTAAGAGAATAGCATGAGAGGTTATGGGATGCCTGACATTTACCAAATCAGAATAAGTTCCAGGCTGGGCACAGTGGCTCACATCTGTAATTCCAGCAATTTAGGATGCTGAGGTGGGTGGATTGCTTGAGACCAGCCTGGGCAACATGGCAAAACCCCATCTCATTTAAAAAAAAAAAAAAAAAAGAAAGAAAGAAAGAAAAGGAATGAATTCCTAAGCTTTTAGAAATAGTTATTTATCTTCATATCTTGTTAAGTGTTAACGTTTCCGTTTACTTTAAAATTTTTCAGCTTTATCAAGATTATGCAAAGTAGACAAAGAAGATGACTGCCCTTCCTAGATAATCGTTCTTGTCCATATGATTACACTAGAAATGATCTACTTATATAGTTGAACATTGAAAACTGTAAGGAAAAGTTTGTGGCTTCACTTTTTAAATGGTTAATTATATGGTCTCTTCTTTCATGTGCTTAACACATTGAATTCTTAATGTTCTCGGTTTGGATAAACAAAGCTAACATCATTGTCTTAAAAGGCAATGATTCCTGAAAACAGAGACTGGAAGAGATATTTGTACACCCATGTTCACAGCAACATTATTCACAATAGCCAAAGGGTGGAAGCAACTCAAGTGTCCATCAGTGGTTGAATGCATAAACAAAATGTTTACATTGTAAGGATTCAGAGCATGCTACGCCAAAATATGCCACTTTAACATACGATTATTTTGAGTTAAAAGGCACTTGAAAAACAGCAGATGCATGAAGAGCACCCTGACCTTCTTTATTCCTTCCTGAAAGCAGGAGATAAAACTCCCATGTGAAAGGTGCCCTCCCTGTACCAGAGATATTTATATCACCACAGGTGAGGAGTTGAGGCTGAGAAAATGAGAAAAAGCTGTGCAAATGAACCTTGTTAAACTAACCCTTTATCTCATGGTCACTTTCCCACAGTTAACTGCCCTGGCGCATATTCCTTTGTCTTGTCACATTTTCACCTTTTACTACTCTTTGTCCAACCTAGTTTATAAGCTTTCAGCCCTAACTTATCCTTTGGCTCTTCATTTCTCTTGGGGGGTTGGGAGGGTGTTCCAAGGTACAATGTAAAACTTACTAAATAAGTTTTGTATGATTTTCTCTTATTAATCTGTCCTATGTCAGTTTAATTCTTGGGCTCAGCTGGAGACCCTACGTGGTAGGAGGGAAAATTTTGCCTCCCCAAAAACCTATACTGGAATATTACTTATCCTTTAAAACAAAGGAAATCCTGTCACATGTTACAACATGAACGAACCATTGAGAATATTATGCTATATGAAATATGCCAGTCATAAAAAGACAAATACTGTATGATTCCACTTATGTAAGGTATTTAAAGTAGTCAAATTCATAAAAACATAAAGTAGAACAGTAGTTAACAGGAGTAAGGAGAAATGAAGAGCTGCTGTTTAATGAGCATAGAGTTTCAATTTCACAAAATGAAAAAGTTCTAAAGATCTGTTTCACAACAAGATGAATATATTTAACAGTACTTAACTATATACTTAAAAGTGGTTAGGATAGTAAATTTTATGTTATATGTATTTTACCAGAATTTTTTAATTGCAGGAAAGAAAAAAGAAAAAGTCTTTCTTTAGCCCAATGACTTGGGATGCCAGTGTTATCAGATAACTAAATTTCCTTAAGTTCCTGGGTTTACTTCTGGTCTTTCCATGTCATTCATCTATTGGTCTATTCTTGCACCAATATCACAATGTTTTCATTGTAAAGGCTTTATGGTGTATTTTAATATTTGGTAGGGCTAGTTGCACCCTCTGAAAAAATGTTTAGCGCTTTCTTGTCAATTCTTACATATTTATCGTGCTATATGAACTTTAGGTATCAATTGGTCCAACTTTCCTAAAAAGCTTGTTGGAATTTTTATTAAGATTTTATTGGATTTATAAATGGACTCAGGGAGAACTGGGACATCTCTATGATGTGCAATTGCTCTATTCAAGAACAGGGATGGTCTTTCCATTTGTTCAAATTTGTCTTCCAAGAGTGTTTTAAAGTTTGCATATTTCTAAATTCATTGCTAAGTAATCTTCTTTGTTGCAATTGTGAATGAAGTTTCTCTGCCATTATGTTCTCTAATTATTGCTTGCATATATGAAGGATATGATTTCAGTATGTTAATTTTATATCCTGTGACCTTATCTTTTATTGTTACATTTAGTTTTATCAGTGATTCTCTATGGTTTTCCAGGATTACTATTATATCATCTGCAAAAAGAGATAATTTCACTTTACTAGTGCTTTTGCCTCTGGTCAATGTTTTTCATTTAATTGCATTGTTACATCTGGTACAATGTTTAACAGTAGTGAAGATACTGACCATCCTTTCCTGTTTCTGGACTTGAAGAAAATACTGGTTTATTTTCCAATTTAGTATTACTGCTTGTAGCACCAAGATACAATAGAGATTTATAAGATATTTATGATATACATGATATATATATACCAAGATATATATATTAAAAAATACATACATATAAAATCATATTTAGAAACTATCCAAGAAGCCCTATTTTCTTAAGCAATTTTTAGGAAGAATGGGTGTTAAATTTTCACAAAAGCTTTTTCAACCTTTATGGAGATAATTCTGTGATTATTTTTCCTGGAACTTATTAATATGGGGTATTATATTAATGTATTTACTAATAACAAGCCCACCTCCTATTCTTGAAATTAATCCTACCTGATCATAATTTTATTTTAATGTGTTATTGAATTCTGTTTCTTACCAAAATATTTATTAGTCCTATATTAGTATTATATTTAGTACTTTTTTTTTTTAAGAGACAGGGTCTTGCTTGGTGACCCAGGCTGAAGTGTAGTGGTACTGTCATAGCTCACCACATCCTCAAACTTCTGGGCTGAAGTGATCCTCCCACCTCAGCCTCCCAAGTAGCTGAAACTACAGGGACATGCCACCACACTTGGCCACCTTTTAAATTTTTTTGCAAAGATGGAGGGAGTCTCACTATGTTGCCCAGGCTGGTCTTGAGCTCCTGGCCTCAAGAAATCCTCCTGCGTCAGTATCCCAAAGTGCTGGGATTACAGGTGTGAGCCATGGTGTTTGGCCTATTTTGTACTTTTTCATGGATAGTCATAACTAATATTAGTCTGCAATTTTCTTTTTTATATTATCTTTGTCATACTTAGATATAAATGTGATGCTTCCTTCATAAAAAACAATTGGGAAGTTTCCCTTCATTTTTGATGCTCTGAAATAATTTATAAAGTATTGGGACTATCTCACATTTGAAGATTTGGTAGAATTCTGTGAAATAATCTGGGCCTGCTAATTTTTTTGAGAAATATTTACTTAACAAGGTTCCTATTTCTTCTACAGAAACTGGTCTACTTAAAACTTCCCTCTCTATCAATTTGGTTTAATTCATTTATTTTTATTTTTGTATAAGGCCTGGCTATGGTGCCCAGGCTGGTCTCGAACTCCTTTCCTCAAGCAATCCTCCTCCCACACCCTCCCAAAGTGCTGAGATTATCCTACCTTAACCTCCCAAAGTGCTGGGATTACAGGCATGAGCCACCATGGCTGGCCTCTATCAATTTTGGTAATCTATTTTCCCTAGAGAATTATCCATTTTATCAAGGTTTTCAAATGTATTTGCATAAAGGCCTTCAAAGTCTCTTATAATTAATTTTTTTCTGCTTCAATGATTTCTTCTGCATTGTCATTTTAACTTTGTATATTTGTGCCTTTTCCCTTTTTCTACTTGAGCATGTAAACTAATGGCTTGTCTACCTTGGTACTATTTTTCAAAAAAATGTACAATAATTTCAAGAATTTTTGCTACTTAATGTATTTCAACTTGTTAGATTCTGTCTCAAGAGATCTTGTCATTCCATGCATTCATTTATTCAAGTCAACATATTCTTGAGTCCCTACTATCTGCCAGGCATTGTGCCAAGGTCAGCACTTACAGGCACATAAATAATGGATACAAAGTAATTGCTGCTACAAGGGAGAAATGTTATTTTTTTTTTAAAGCTATTTATGCAGAGAAGGAGCAACAGGATGGAAGGCCAGGGGAATCAGGAAAAGGTCAAAAGGGAAGGAGACATTTCACTGTTCCTTTAAGGATGTCTGCCAGTTGCAGAGGGGACATGGACAGGGGTGATGGAAGGAGGAAGGGTTGGAAGACATATAGTATCTCAGAGGAACAGCCAGGTGAGGAGATAGCGTGTGGGAGGAGCTGTCAGTGGCAGGTGGTGATGTTGAGAAACAGGTCAGCCCCGACCACCAGCACTCAGACTAAGGCTTAATGACCTTCAACAGGAAAGTGTGAAGTTGTGAAACAGGAGAGTGAAACTGTATGACCAGCATCCCGAAATAAAAAGAACAGCATGCAGATCGAAGAAGGCAACGAGGAGCCCAGGCAATAATTCAAGCAAAGAAGATAAGCATGTAAAGTGAAGCAGCACCAGTGAGCAAAGGACAAACTCCAGAAACAAGTCAGAGATGACTGACAGGATGTAGGCAGCGACGAAAGGAGAGGAGCCAGAAAGTCAGGCCTGAATGACCGGCTGGCTGGTGATGCTTTAACTGGGATGGAGAAGTCATGAAGAGCAGCACTGGGGACAAGTCAACAGCTTGGTTTTGAGAGTCTGAGCTATTTGTAGAACACCAGCG